ATATTTTATGTGTGCTAGTTCCTAAACAATTCTCAATACATTGGACTAGATATCTTGTGAACATATGGGAGATAACAAGTGCTTATGTTCAATATGGTTTTATAGAGGGGATACTGGCTTGGTAAATGACGTGCTGAAAGTCTGAGAATCAGGAATGTTGTTTTTGGATACTCCTTGAGTTAAACTATGCAAAACCAATTCTATTTTGTGTTTAATCACATGGATGCCATTATCTTCTGGAGATATTTTCTTAGGAAATGCAAGTAATGGAAAATTCCTCCAGAGAGCTGCCTGATCAGCAGGTGTTTTCCACATTACTGAAACTGAAGAGCTCTCTGCTGTCAGCCCTCTTGGCCTCTTCAGAACCACTCAGAGAGCCACAATAAATGCCCAAGTCAGCCCCATGCTGCAAGATTCTGCTGTGTGGTAATCTGGGGCAGGCCCCTGGCATCAGAAAATTTTAAAAATCTTTCCAAGTGTTTCTAGAGGGTTTCAGTTTAACTTAGGCTTCTTTTTTTTTTTTTTAAGATTTATTTTTGTTATTTTTTGATTGGAAAGGCAGATATACAGAGAGGAGAGACAGAGATTCACTCCCCAAGTGAGCGCAACGGGCCGATGCTATGCCGATCCGAAGCCAGGAGCCTCTTCTGGGTCTCCCACGTGGGTGCAGGGTCCCAAAGCTTTGGGCCATCCTCGACTGCTTTCCCAGGCCACAGGCAGGGAGCTGGAAGGGAAGCGGGGCTGCCGGGATTAGAACCGGCGCCCATATGGGATCCCGGGCGTGCAAGGCGAGGACCTTTAACCACTTGCGCCACCGCGCCGGGCCCAACTTAGGCTTCTTTATCCCTATGCTTTCCATATATATTTGTAGATGTCAGCATATTAAGATTTCATCCTTTATTGTATTTTCTTTTTAGAAAGGACATTTTTAACTTTGGAAAATTATGACACATAATTGGAATTGATCTTCTGAAACACATAAACACGTTTTAGCCAAGAATTTCCAAGATACCACTGAGGTGTTCACATATGATATTTTCATTTAACATAAATAGACTAATCATCTAAATTTTTCCATTCTACATTCATGGAACATATTATTTTTAAGGAACTTCTAAAATGATTTTTGTGGAGGGTAGAAAGAGCCTCACCCACTGGTTGAAATGCCCAAGATGGCCAAATTTGGGCCAATGCGCAAGCTGGGAGCCTGGAATTCACTCTATGTGAACAGGAACTCAGTCCCCCATGAGTGACAGGAACTCGTCCCTTTGAGCCATCACTGCTGCTTCTCAAGACCTGCAACAGCAAGTCTCCAGAATCAGGAACAATTCTGTATGAGACACAGGGGCCCTGACTGTGAACTTAACCAGCCAGTCAAATGCTAGTGAACATTCAAAACAGTGCATCTTGATTTAATGATGTCTCTCTTTGAAAGTGATGACGTGAATTCCATATATAATAATAATGAGATAGTGTACAGAGGTGATAAAAAGCAATAGCAATGATGACAGTTACAATGTTTTTATCACGTTGAGTGGCCTTTGGATTAAGATTCATGACTGGTATCAGATGTCCTTGCATATTGCATGTTCAAAATGAGCAGTGTTTGAACTTGCTCTGAGATGTTCACATGGAAGACTGTGAGGGTGCCTGTAAAAGTTCATGGAAAATATGGGCCCGATGGTGTGGCCTAGCAGCTAAAGTCCTCACCTTGAACGCACTGGGATCTCATATGGCCGCCGGTTCTAATCCCAGCAGTTCCACTTTCCATCCAGCTCTCTGTTTGTGGCCTGGGAAAGCAGTCGAGGACGGCCCAAAGCCTTGGGACCCTGCACCCATGTGGGAGACCTGGAGGAAGTTCCTGGATCCTGGTTTTGGACCGGCATAACATCAGCGGTTGCGGCTCACTTGGGGAGTAAATCATCAGACGGAAGATCTTCCTCTCTGTCTCTCCTCCTCTCTGTATATCTGACTTTCCAATAAATAAATTAATCTTTAAAAAAAAAGTTCATGGAAAATATGTTTATTTTGGTGCAAACGTTTTGGAAATCCATGCATACACATACATATTCTAATGCTTGCATATCTAATTGTTTTGGTTGTTGAATTTCAAATAATTTATCTGGTGCCTGCTGCAGACTCTATGCTAACATATTAGCCATTTCTTAAAATAAACAAGACCCTAATAATTGAGAGAGGTTTAATTGGTTCCTACAGGATTTTATAAATTGTACATACACGGAAAATCAGCATGTATCATACACCTTCCACCAACACAGTTCTCTTTGCTATTTCTACTTCCTGGAAAGGGCTTTTTGGTGCAGTCTTGGAAGATCTAAGTTCTCTTGAAAAAATGAATGATTCGCTTGGTAACATCTTTACAATATACTTAGTGATCTTTACAACAAAAAATTATTTATATGCTCAGCAAGAATTATTTACTTTTGCAAACATCATTTGAAATTCACCCCTTAGAGAAACCTTCACCTGGTTAAGTGGTACAGAGTGCCATTGGTCTCTGAGTGTAACTTTTGATGTTCTACCAGAAGTCATGTGCGTGCAGGTACAATATGACATCTGTCTTTGTATGGTTTTGAACGCAGTAACTAGCTATCACACACTGGCAAATCCATGCATTATAAAGGTTTTGTAACCTGGGGACTCAAGGTCAAGGGTCTGCAGCTGGAGAGAGGAAGGTGTGGAGCTGCAAGGCCGCGCAGAGCATGACGTGGGCAAGGGCCCAGGTAAGCAGCAGAGCCAAACTGCCCCTTCAACTAGATGTACAAATGTGATGAATTCAAAGTCTGTTTATTCTGGCGCAAAAACAATTTTGAAAGCCATGCATAGTTTTTCCTAATACACATTTTCCATGTATTATGAATGATATTTTTGGCACTAAAATGAACTTGATGATTTCATTTTTCCATAAACTGAAGCGCTCTGTCTGCTCCTGCAAGCTCCTTTTAGCCCTTTGTGCATCTCTGCTGAGTGGTCAGGGAAGCTTTCTGTTATCTTCCTTTGCTCACTGATTCAACGATCTTCAAGCCTTGTAATTCTCACTGTGCTTAACTGAGTGGCCACTGGCTGACTCTTGGATGTCTTTCTTGGAAGACTGTAGCTTTGCAACCCACAAACCCTGGGCCCGTATGGACCTTTACTGACCTTTACTTAATCCAGTGGCTGGATCCAATCTATGATCAAGTGGTGAAAGCACAGATGACTAAGAAGCTCTGCTTTTCTTTCTGAAAAGCACAATTTCATCCCAGAGCTTTGATTTCAGTGAATGGTTTCTGTAATTCCCCCTCCCCCAGAAAGTGGCAGATTAAGGAGAGAATGTTTGTACAAAATAATGGACTTAAAATATTTATTAAACTTAATCGAAACAAATTAATTTTTAAAAAGTAAGCTCACCATATTAGCACAGCAGTTATTTCATTTCCCGGAAGAAAACTTTCCTGAAGCTGACATGATGCTGGATCTTGGATATTTTGTTCTAAGTCTTAGTGGGTTCCCCCCCACTTTCAGAATTTCTTTCCATTTTGATAGGCCATTTTCTAAACTCTGGTTGGACATCAAAATCTATGAGAAACAGGTTTTTATTTCTGTGTATGTAAAAAAAACAATGCCCTCTAGAGGCGAAGTGCTTTAAAATATTCACACAATTAATTACCCACGGTTTTACTCTCACACTGAGTAAGCAACACACAAACTCCACCTTCAGCCTGGAGAGACATACCCTCACCGTGCCAAACCCCATTGCATGTGGCTGATTTACAACTTTCACCATTTTCCAGGGATATTGATTGATTGATTTGAGACAGAGAGAAGGCTTCCACCCACAGGTTCACTACCCAAATACCTGCAAGGGACTGCTATCGAAGTTGAAAGATGAGAAGTTAGTCTGGGTCTCTGATGTGGCTGGTAGAAACCCAGATTTCCGGGACATCATTGGTTGCCTCCCAGTGTGCACATGAGCAGAAAGCAGGAATTAGGAGTCCCGATTTCAACAAAGCCACTCTGATGTGAGGTGCACGCATCTTAAACATTATGCCACAAGCAATCCCCGGCATACAGACTCTCTTACTCAAAATCACGGGACTTGTTGGCATTTGTGATTTTTTTATTGTACGTGTGAGTTTGAACATCGTTTTCATAAGCGAGCCCTTAATTCTTATGCCCACAATTGTGATTCACTGCTTCTTAACTAAGATTAGGGTAAAATGTGCAATTATAAAAACAGTTGAGTTGACACAATGAGCAATTAACCATTCACCCTTACTAATGTTGCATAATCTTTCCAGTAATTTTAAATTGATTGATAAGCACTTGTCTGGGATCAAAAGGAAACAAAATCTGAAAGAACTCACTTTGCATGTCAGGGGATTAGCATAAGAAGGCACTTCAAAAATTCATGCAAGATGCATATTTTTTAAATGTGAGTTTCAATTTTTTTTACTTCAAAATGAACATCTTTTGATGAACCTTTTGAGTATCAGTTCTTTTTTTATTTCTATTTATTTGAAAGGCAGAGAAAGACAGACATAGTAACACAGAGAGAGAGTTCCCATCTACCAGTTCATGCCCCAAATGCCCTTATTGGCCCCTGAGCAGAGACCAAAGCTGGTATCAGAGACTCAGTCCAGGTTTCCCAAATGAGCAGTGAGAATCCCATCACTCGAGCCATCATCTCTGGCTACCTTGGTTTGCATTAATGGGAAACAGGGCTCAGGAGTTGGATTTCTGACCCCAACCCAGGCATTCTGATAAGAGCTATGAGCATCATAACTGCTAGGTCAAACACCCACTCCTTAGTCATATTTTCTCAGTCTTAAGTGTTGGTGGAAACAGTGGAGCCCACTCCGTAGTACTGTTTAGCTGAGCCACACAGCAGCTGACGAGGGCCCAGGGATGGATGCGATCTATATTTTGTTATCATTGGATACCTTGTAATTGCACACTTTATGGTCATGCATGTTTTATTCTCTCGTTACGTTTTCCAGGGGAATAACCAATTGGCTGATAGAGTAACAAACGAAGAGTAACCTGACTCCGTTGACCCACTCAGCTCTGCGTAGGAACATGGGAAGTAGCAGCAGTTGGCTTTGAAACGGGGGAATAAGTATGGAATAGCTCTTTTCATGGTTGCCTTCTTTTATTTCTTTGCATGTCTATTTCCAGACCAGTTGAAAACAGCAGGTTGTTCCTGTTTGAAAACACAGAATCGGAGTTATCGGAACAGGTGCTCTAAGTGACTGGTCATATTTCTGCTCCATCTTCAGATTGCTGACTATGTAAGTACTGGTGCGTAAGAAACATCTGTTTTCAAATCGCAAACACATAATTATGCTGGGGGGAACCATCATTCTTAAACGCAGGATTGGCATTTGGGATGTGTTTAGCATTAAGCTATACATTATTTGGATTATGTGGGTTTGCTCCAATAAATAGATTTCTCTGGAAAAATCATAGAAGTAACAAAATGGTAGATTGTATTTGGTTTCCCCAGTGAAGCCACTGAAAGTATTTTGCTGTGTTTAATTATCAAACCGCCCTTACTTATATATTCATTTTCTTACTTGTGAAACGATCTGGCCCAGAAAGGTATAGTTTATTTTTTTTCATCTTTCAAAGCTTACATAACAGATACAGAAAGGAAAATTTCATTTTAGCATGAAAATGTAGACGAGTCCTTCTGAGACCCATGAAATTAAAACTTTTTTTGTTCTCTTAATTTTAAGTCAATGTCCCATTTTCATTGGAGAACTGTATCTTCTTTTAGTTAAGTGAAACAGATGAGTAGTATGTGGCTGGCAGGGCTTTTACATTCATCACTACAATTAGACTATTCTATTATAATACAACTAGAAAGTCATTTTAAGTTTCACAAATTAAGTATCATGTATAGATAATAAACATGAAATTATTTTGCATGACTTGATTCTGCTTCACGCCCAGTTGAATGATGCATAGATAAGAAATTATGGATAAATAATAAAGATTTAAATTTTAAGAGCATTAGAATTCAAAAGGCTACAGAAAAATAATTCATAAAAATTGTATATGTCTTATCCAGTTAGTTAAAGCTATTTAGGAAGAGCTTTTAGAGGACATTTTGGCTACTACCGTATAGTTCGCATATCCTCAGGGATGATCATACTCTTGCTGTCGCACATTAAGGATTTCTGTGTATTAATCTGAAATTAAATGTTACGTAAATCAATGAAGAGTCCGAATTCTAGCTCTATAAAAGACACAAAATTATGACAATATTTCAAAAGCTTTTTGGAAAATGAAACTATACAGTGCAAAAACTTCCACAGTTTTATAATAATATGCATTTTCTCATGAACTTGTTGAAGAACCCTCATGTTGTTTTGCTGCTCTATGCACAACGCAACCTTGTCTTTTTGATTCCTTGTGTTTTGATGATAAGTCGGACAATTACTAAACACCTTAATCAACTATTGATCCACTATTTTTCTTGTGTTCCAATATAATGCAACTGTTTTTTAATAAATCCCTTAGCTGACAGATGTTATCTGTGTAACAAGAAATCTTCTAAATGAAAGCAAAAAAAGATAAAGCAGACAACAAACTCTCTATAAATACCATCCATTCTAATTAGTCTCTCCACACCATAAAACAACAATCAGCTGCTAGATTTTATTCAGCAGGAGTAGATCAGAATGTGACTAAATTTGTAACTGACGCAATGACTTTAAAGCATACACGAACCAAAGGAAAAGTTAGTTACTGTGCCTCTACTGATGTGCATTCCTATGGATAGAACTGCCTGAGAAATGGAATCTGCCCTCCCTGGTTTCCATTGGAAAGAAGGCTGTGGGGAGGAATGGTCTGGGGCAAGGAGAGTCTGTTGCTGGAGCCTGTGTTCGCACTGGTGCTCCAGATAAGGACCCTTGGCAAGCTGTCTCCAGCATTGCTCACTGGCTCGGGGGTCACACTTGACTGAGCCCAATTCATGAGGATCCCTCACAGCCTGGGACCAGACACAGTGTAAGGCCACATTGGTTTAGCGTTACCACTACTCAGAGTTCCTGTGAGAATTAAATGAAACAGTGGTTGTGAAAATTATTTTTAAATTGTAAATATGAATATTAAGTATTGTTTGATGTGACACATTAGCAGGAACATGGACTTTAAAATCTAGTATATCTGAATTCAGGATTCATCTATGTTGTAAGCATTAGACTCAATTTTCTCGTCTAGCCAATGGGTATGCTTCTTCCCACTTAATGGCTACCAGCCAGTTCTAAGAAACTTTAGAAGGTGGCATTGGACATCGTCTCACGAACATCTCACAGTCAGTACAGTAAAGGGCTATCTGACAGCACTGTGTGCTCGAGTGCTTGATTTGGGCAGATCCAAGAGAACATGGCCATTGCTAAACGCCAGGCTCCCTTGAGCTGTGAAGTCCCTGGAGGGCTGTTAGTTATTTTATCAAATGAAATAAATGGCTCTCCTGGAATGAAGTTACTTGTGTCAACATGACCAGTCTGTGTCAACCTCATGGGCAAATTTCGAGGAAAGACAAGTCATCAGAATGTCAAAGTGCTCATCTGCTATCATATGTAATTGTCATAATTATGGGCCAGGGCAAAAAGCTCAATCCACCATGTGACAAGTATGTTTTCTTTCTCATGGCAGACCTATGTAAATTGTCAAATAACAATCAGAAGGTGGCATGATGAGCATGGAGTTAGATGAGTCAAATAAACGTTTAACATCATTGGGCTGAAATTGTTAGGTGGATTTCTCTCAACAGGAACCAATCACCTGGTCAAAATAGACTTGAATCATTTGACTCTTTCCCCTCAGTAGTGCCTGGCTGGGTAAGTCAGCATTTACCTCTGTGTTTTTTTATCTTCACATCCATGTCTGATTATTTTTCCCATCAACTGGTGTAAGAATAACTTGGGTGGGGCCAACTTTATGGCAAAATAGGTTAAACTACTACCTGCACAGTAACATCTCATGTACTCCACTTCTGATCAAGTTCCTTGTTAATGTGCTGGGGAAAGCAGCAGAAGATGGCCATAGCATTTTTTTTTTAAATTTTATTTATTTTTATTGGAAAGGTAGATATACAGAGAGGAGAAGAGACAAAAGGAGGAAGATCTTCTGTTGATTCATTCTCCAAATGGTCACGATGGCCGGAGCTGAACCAATCTGAAGCCAGGAACCAGAAGCTTCTTCCGGGCCTCCCATGCAGGTGCATGGTCCCAAGGCTTTGGGCTGTCCTCAACTGCTTTTCCAGGCCACAGCAAGGGAGCTGGAAGGGAAGCAGGGCTGCCGGGATTAGAACCGGTGTCCATATGGGATCCTGATGCATGCAAAGTGAGGATCTTATCCATTAGGCTACTGTGCTGGGCCCTGGCCCAAGTGTTTTTGTGGGGCTCTTGTCACCCACATGGGAGACCCAGAAGGAGTTTCAGGCTCTCTAGTTTCCACCTTGATTAGCCCTGGCCATTGCAGCCATTTAGGAAGTGAATCAGTGCGTGGAAGATCTCTCCCCCAACCTCTCCCAGTCTCTGTGTTGTTCTGCCTGTCAAATAAATAAATCCTAAAAATAATAATAATAATAAAGAAAAATCAAATCAATGGTTCTATCAGATTTTTCAGGCCTAGAAACCATTATACTTTCAGATGACTTTAAGATAAAATAGCTCTTCATTTAGCCATAGCCACCAACCTCCGGGTTTATTTCTCCAAAAATGGTGTTGGTTTTCTCAATGCCTGAATTCTTAGGGGTCCCTCTCTGATCCCCCCACCAAGTACTGGCTCACAGGATTAAGTCATGTGACACTTTGAAAGTTATCTTTCTGGCACGTGGAGGGTGCTCAGTAAATGTTAATTTCCTGTTCCCCTTCCTTTCTGTGCAATGTAACAGATATTAAGACTTTTATGAACCCTTGCCTATGCTCCTGGGATTATAGAGATTAACACAAAATAGGGTGCAGCCCTTAAGAAGTTCAGAGCATGTTAATGGAGAGAGACATATAAGTGAGCAATGTCTGGGTGACCATTATAATAATAATTTCTAGCCTCCTGAGCTGTGGAGATAAATGTGGCCTCATTGCTATTCATGCTACGGTGCTGGTGGATCCCATATGCACACACACAGGGCTGCAGCCTGAGCCAAGGCCTCCCGCAGAGGGGCAGGCCCTAAGAGAGACATGCAGAGAAGACCTTGGAGGCCACCCTTTGTCCTCATTGTCTCAATTAGCATTTTCTCCACCCCCTATGTTTTATTTGAATTATTGGTATTTTCTTATTCTGATCTAAGGTTTATGCAAAACAACTCGAAGTCCCTCCCTGCAGCCTGCTCTTGCCCTTCCTGCCTCTTGCTGGTCGCACCTCTTTCCTATATTGACATTCAAGAGCTCCTAGTGACCTCAAGTACTTTGGAACATTCCCAGAGAACATCACAATTGCTTTCAGGAATGACTCGGGGCTTCCACAGTGGATGTTCTCCTAAGAGACTGGAGGTAGGCAGGCTGCAGCGTTCACTGACGGCTCTTCTGCATCATCTTCCTCCCCTTTCTCAGCAGAAAAATGGTGGCCTAGTCCAGCCTGGGTGCCATCCTTCCCTACAGTGTGCCATCAAGGTCCTGCTTGACCTCTATCCTTTCCTCTTCTCTGTGCTTAAGCACCAGCTGGATTATCAGCTTCCACTTTTGTATCCTCCAACAGTCTTCAGCCTGGGTTTGAATAAATCGTTGACTTCCCTTTGTTGTTATTCTCTGTGTAGCAGCTCACCTTCGGTATCCTGTATTAGTAAGAGCAAGATCCAAGTGGAAAGAAATCAAAGATGGTCATGCAGCAGGATGCTCACAGCTGTGGAAATGATGCATGCCTGTGGTTTGTTCGCATTGGATGGTTGGTTGTTGACTCATAGAAGCCGTGACATCTCTCTTATTCATGAGATGGATGGTGGAGATCAGTTACAATTGCCTATTTCAATGCTGATTAGATAGAAAAATCGATAAAACAAAATTGACTATTTGCTAAACTTATATTTCTTCTTAATTTGCTTGAATAATTTTTCCCACATTTTTCCCCATGGATTTATAACTGCGTTTCTCATCTGTACTATCAGCGTTCAAATAATACATCTGAGCTTTTTGGTTTGAAGGGTCTTGTTATACCACTGATATTTTCCCAAGGTATTCTTTCCCAACATTGACACAATTTTATATTTTATAGGCTCCATATTAAAAAGTCCTAGGAAAGGATTTAAACTGATCTGGTGTAGGTCATGTACCCATTCCTGTCCTACTCAACTGAGATAATTTGAGCCTGCTGCAAATCTTAGGAAAAACATAAGTTGCTGTGAAACACAGGTAATTTCTAGAAAAGTGGCAGCTAGTCAGCTAATAGGAAAACTATCTACTATGTTGATCTCTGGCCAGAATACTCAAAAAGACATTTGTTTAGTTGGCCTCACTGGCCTCTAACTCTATATTCTGTAGTCCTAGGATTTGAAACATTAGCTTGATACATTTATTCATTTATTACCTAAATGAGCTATATATATATATTTGTGGCATGCAGCCTGCTGTTTTGATAATTGTGTGAGAGTACTTCAAATGTTTGTGGACAAGTGGGCCTCACAGGGCAGTGGGTTAAGTCACTGCTTGGAATGCACATTCCATATCAGTGCATGAGTTTGAGCCCCAGTTACTTCCCTTCTCAGGTTGCTTCCTGCTAATGTATTCTGGTAAGCAACCAATGATGGCTCAAGTGCTTGCACCTTGAACCCCTGTCACCCATGTGAGAGAACTGGCTGTGCTCTCTCTGCCTTTGAAGTAGGTTTTAAAATTGATTAACATTTTTACGTTTGTGGAAAATTGAATTGTAAGATTATTTTGGTGCAAATCCACCCCAACATTTTCCATGAATTTTCTGAAGCTCCTTCATTTAACTATTACATGAATGAATATCTATGGAATAAATGAATTCATGCACTGATGGACACCCTGGGTGGAATCCGTATCGATCACGAACAGAACTGCAATGAACACAGGGTTACAGATACCTCTTGGACAAGTTAGTTTCATTTCCTTTGGATATGCACTTGTAATGGGATTTGTTGATGCACTCTTAGCTATCAATGACTGCAGAGATCTTCCTATCCAATCAAATCTTGAAATCCCACTCACAGGAACTAGCAAATCCTATTCATGCACAGCACATTGTTGTGGTGTGACTGGTACAGAAGCCTGTGCTAGTCCCCCTTCCTGGGAGTCAGCAGGTGGCTGTGCCGGAGGAACAGCAGCACTCTAAAGATCTGGGCAGGTGGGGGCAGTAGCAGAGCAGAGGGGACAGGAAGGAAGGAAGCAGAATGTCAGTTCTCCTGGACATTCTGCGTTCGATTATGAATTGTCAGCAAGGCTACGCCTAGGAGACAGGGCTTGGCTGCAGGATTGGGACACAGGGATGAATGCCATGGACTCAAGCCTGAATTTTAGCTCACTCTACAGAGAAATCTGTGCGACAAGAAAAAAGTGCAATAGTATAATGAGCAGCCAATCGACAGTATGGATGTCTGTCTGGGTTTGTGTTGTGGTGGGTAACATCAGGCTTTGTTCTCTACTTGTCTTTGTGTGAACCATATTTTAGATTGGAACTCCATGACCTCCAGGGGGTCACACTTTTATGCGAAAATATTTCTGGAATGTGTAGCATAGCCACACTATGAGTGCAAGCCTGAGTCCTTGAGCAGTTATACCCTCAGCTAGGTCAGCTCTGTCCTCAGAGACTAAGCAACTGCAGGATTTTTGCCTGATGTCTAACTTGCTTGAAAGCTGCTTTCCTTTCCTTCACTTAAGAAGAAGGTGGGGCTGGTTTTGCGGTGTTGGTGGTAAAATCACTGCCTGCAATATTGGTATCCTATTTGGGTGTCAGTTCATGCCCTGGCTGCTCCATTTCTGAACCAACTCCCTGCTAATGGCCAGGAAATAGTAGCAAATGATGGTCCAGTTGTTTAGGCCTCTGCATGCTTGTGTGAGACCTGGATAAAGCTCCTGGCTCTTGATTTCAGCCTTGACCAGCCCTGGCCATTGCAGTAATCTGGAGAGTGAACCAGCAGTTGGAAGATCTCTTTCTGTCTCTCCCCCCATCTCTCTATAACTCTGACTGTCAAATAAATAAATAAATAAATAAATAAATAAATAAATAAATAAATTTTTTTTAAAAAGCTATGGCAAGGCTGCCTTGTGATATGGTAGGTTAACCTGCCTTTTGTAGCACCAGCATCCTATCATAAGTTCAAGTCCTGGTTACTCTCTGATTCAGCTCCCTGTTAACATGCCCAGGAAAGCAAAGGGAAATTATGCAATTGGCTGGGGCCCTTGCCACTCTTGTAAGAAGACCTGTATGGGTCTCTGGTTTTCTGCTTTGGGCCAAGAGCAGCCCTGTCCATTGAGGCCAGTTGGGCAGAGTCCTAGTAGATATATTTCTGTCTTTCTTTGTGTCTGTTCTTGTCTGTTTGTGTCATTTGTCACTCTACCTTTCAAAGAAAGGAATACATTATTTTTTTTAAAAAAGGGGGAAGGGATTGGAAATTTTGAGATGTTTGATGTTATTCTTTTAAATTTTCTATTCTTTCTTATTTAGAGAAAGAGACAGAAATAGAGAGCCCACCTAAGGTGGTAGTGGGCCAGGCAAAGTCAGGAGCTGAGAGCACAAGTCAGGGCTCTCACACAGGTGACAGGGACCCAACTACATGGACCATCATCTCTACCCACCAAGATTCAATTGGCAAGAAGCTGTAATCAGGAACTGGGAACAAGGATTGAACCTGGGCACTTCAACATAGCAAATGGGTTTCTTAATTGTGAGGACAAACAACTGCCTCTTTTCTACTTGACTGAAACCTCTTAGGACTAGCAGCTCTCACTGTACCACTTTGGGACCCCCAGGGTCTCTAATTCATCAAACAACACCCTGTGGCCTCCACCCTTGAGGTGTTGGTATGATCATTAGCAACCAGAGCCAGTATCTACTTCAACTGCATCTTTTTGCCCGCAGAATGTATATACCAGCTCTTCTTCTGCCACTTGTTGTCACTAAGGATTCCTTGTGCTATAAATGAGTGTCTCCAAAACCCTGACATGCAAGTATTCAGCCATTCACATGTATTCACTGATACAGTAGCTGCTATTTCAGGAGACCCAAAACAGGAGACAACAGTATTTGTAACTTCTAGTTAGAGGAGTTGGTGAAGTAGTTGATATTTTAATATTTTAAAAGATTTTTAACTAATACATGCAAACTGATGATGACCTCCATCAGAACTAACTTGAAAAGTATTCCACTGTGTAGGTGTTCCACATCTCTATACCTTCCTCGTGACTGGTCACTCGGGTTGTTCCCAACTCTTGCCTACTGTTCACAGTGCTACAATAAACCTGGCTTTGCATGTCTCTTCAGCAGACTGATTTCTTCTGGGATTTGAAGGAGTTCCATTTTTAAGTTTTTGAGGAACTTCCATACTAATTTTAATTCCCACCGATAGTATGGAAGGGTCGCCTTGTCCTCGGCATGTTTCCAAGGACTTGTTATCTTTCATCTTGTTGACAGCAGCTGATCTAGCTGGATTGAGCTGATATCTTACCACAAATTAAAAACCACAGTAAGATATCAGCTCATTCTCCTTCATGTTCGGGGGCTAAAAATAAAACTCACTCTGAACATAGAATGCTGATTAGTACAGGCTGGGAGGAGTGGGATAAATAGTAGGCGTTTGGATTTAAAAAGGGGGAAAGCTGGGTCTAGTTCACTAACTGTGACAAATATGTTACACTAAGAGGAGATATTCATTATAGGAGGAGCTGGGTGTGGTTTACAGATTGTGACATATGGAAATACTAATGTAATATGCTAACAGTAGGGGAAACTGCAGGTGATGAAACCTCTTTTTATACTCCACAATTTTGATTTTATAAATTTAAAACTATTTTGATATGAAGTATGGAGAAAGAATAAAAGTAGTGACCTCTTCCTTTGAACTTACTTAATCTTGGATGTACAATATGTATTGTTTCTAAATCACTGAAGTGTCTTTTTGAGATGGGCTTTATTATGCTGCTCCTTGGGACCTGGGATAGCTCAGCTTATCCTAGGTCCATCAGAGGACGAGGAACCAGCTCATCCTGGTTCCAACACAGTGCAAGGAACCATCTCAGATGCAGAAGCTCCAGGAGCATGGATGTTGGCAGGGAGGGAGAGGATGTGCTTTAGGATCCTCCTGGTGCTGCAAAGTTCTAACCTAGACCTCGAATACAATCAGGATTGTTTTCCTTGATGTTTTTAAATAGCTTTTTAAAAATACTCTTATCCTTTCACAGTGATCCTTTCCATTGCCAACTACATTTGGAAGAAATACCAAACGGTTATGCAAATTCTGTCTGCCCCATCACAGCAAAGGCCCACATTTGCCTGATCTGGGAAAATGGTGTTTCATCTGTTCTGAGTTAGGCCATGTTAGCCTCTGTTAAATGGTGTGGACAAAACTGTGTTGCATATGCATGGCTGCCTGTATTCTGACATGCTGGCTCTAAGCTCCAGTTTTGCATTGCTTAATTCCTTCTCCCTGTCTTCTGAAATTGGCATGCAAATTGTTGTTGTACAAGGACCTGTCTCTCCCCTGGAGAGGCTGAGATATGATGTATGGAACCCTCATGGCATTTTCCCCCATTGGTTCTAGAGCCTGACAAAATGGCGTGCGATACACCTTACCAGCGGCAGCGGACTGTGTCAACAACTGGAGAAACTCTGTATGAAATTCTTGGTCTGCATAAGGGTGCATCACATGAAGAAATTAAGAAAACCTACAGGTACAGTGAGAGTTCAAGAATGACCTTTCTTATGCTGCTAGTGGTAACTCTTTCTGATTGTCAAGGGACTCCAGAGAAATATGTAAGCCAACATCAGGTTATCTGAATTTTGAACTCCATGTTCCTTGTTGTATAAACAGAGATAAACAGGAATTAACACACATGACTTTGAGATTATGAAAGAACTATCTGATGATGGTGTGTCATGCAAAAGAGCAGTCTGTATTCCAGGGCTGGTCTTATTGAGGGGAGAGAGAAAAAGAGAAAAGCAACCACAACCCATACGGCATAGCAGTCTCCTGGAAGGGTATTTCTTTTTCTTTTTTTCAAATATAAGGGAGTTTGGGCCTGTTGCCATGGCTAAATCCTCTCCTTGCAAGTACCGGCGTTCCATTTGGGCGCTGGTTCATGTTCTGGCTGCTCCACTTCCCATCCAGCTCACTGCTTGTGCCTGGAAAAGCAGCGGAGGATGATTTGCCAAAGCCTTGGGACCTGCACCCAGGTTGGGAGACCCAGATGAAACTCCTGGCTCTTGGCTCCTGGTTTCCGATTGGCTCAGCACCAGACATTGTGGTCATTTGGGGTGTGAACTAACAGATGGTGGATCCTTCTCTCTGTCTCCTTCTCTCTGTTAATCTGATATGTGTTTCTTATTTAAATAAATAAATTGATTGATTGATGGAGCTGGCACTGCAAGTGGCAGTTTTACCTGCTGTGCTTCAGCACCAGCACCAATAAATACATTTTTAACAAAAAAAAAAATTTGTCTTTCATAACTGATCTAGTTCCAAGGTACCCATAGCCATTTTTTGGAAACATCTGAAATATCCTTTTATTTAAGGTTTCAAGGAATAAAAAATTGAATACAGAATGTTTCTTATTGAAGAAAACTTACAAATTACCAGAAAGAAAACACCTATCCATAATTCTATATCTAGTAATAATTATCATTGACACTTTGTTTCCTTCTAGTCTTTTTCTGTCTAAATAAGATTTTAAAATCTGTCATTTCAAAATAAGCCTTATAAAAATTTGATGTTATCACATCTTCTAATGTCTCAATGGCTATTACCCTATGGCCAGTTGTATTTTATTTAACCACATTATGAACCATTATTTAACAAAAAAGTTTTAAAAACTCTTTTTCTAAACTTAATATTATTGTTCTCAAATCATGATACACATTTCCAATTATTTCCCTATTATTGGATAAAGAAGCTATGCCTTGATAGGGAAAAATGCACCAAAACATAAAAAATAGTTTCAGATTTTAATCGGTTAGTTCCTGATTTGGTCTTGAAAAACTTTTTTTTAATGCATAGCAGTTAAAACATTTCAAGCATGCAAGCATGTTGTTCACTTTCCATATGGCTTTTGTTTTACCTGCCATGATTTGAAAATTCTTCTGGGTTACAATGTTATAAAAAAATATTAACTGCCATCTTTTCTAGTACATTCATGATTTTTCAAGTTTCTACAAAATCTTTGATACAATGGGTTTTATGTTGGCAAATAGCATGAACTATCACTTCAGATTTATTCTTTTCCTTAAATCACACAGCCAGTCTTTACTTGAGTCTCCATGTTTGTCTTCTGATGGGAAGGTCTTTGGCCTTGGAACCCACATGATGCAGAATGTAGGTTTATGTACCTTTATAACCTGAAATACTTTGAAGAAGCAGGTGCTGAAGAATAAATCACCAGCAGTGCAAACAGCCATTTGGATTCACATAGTTCTGCAAAAATGAAGGAGTCTGAGTAAAGATAATATCCATCTCCTGGTTTACATTTCATTAAGGTGCTGGAGAGACTAAAGTCTTTGCTATTTGATTTTACCATAGAGCTACATAGAGTGTGCCTGCAGGTGGAAGTCTTTGGCTGAAAGTAACGAAAATGGACTCTTACAGCTTCAGGTCAAGTCATTGTGCTTGGGGCTTAGAGTAGCAATCAAATTAACTACATTATAAGCTTAATATCTATAAAAATGCTTCCCAAACCGAGAGGGGGTAAAGTCATCTTCAACCACCTTGTCAGTTTTAAAACCTCTTTTACTTTACAATTGTGACTTTTAATTGTGCCTTTATTAATTTCAGGTCATATCTTAATTAAGGCATTAATTATGCTGAGTTGTTTGCAACTTTAATAATTATAACATAAAATCTTTTCATGTAATCAGTGTTGTGCTCTTAATTTCGTTTTAATGTCACACAAATATTATTTTTTCAGCTGATTAGGGTACTTGTATGCTGCCAATAGCATCTGTTTCTATCTAAATTACACATTTGTATTCTGCAAATTATTCAAAATGTATGAGCAAGCTGGAAATCCACTGAGGGTATGATATTTATATTCAGGGATCTGGATGAAGGCAGTGACATTATAGTGAAGTTAAAACTCAGTGAATTTAACAAAATTACCAACTGTTGAACCTCTCTGCTGCTTGACCTTTTTGGCATCCTTGCTTGTGTTCTTGAAAGCAAATTTGAGGTAAAGATTTCTTTCTTTCTTTTATACTTATTTTGATTTTGGAATAGATAATATTTTTTGTTTGGTTAAAATGAGAGCATACAAGCAGACATGGTTCCCCCCGAAAAGTCTTCCTTTTGCCTCTTACTGTCCGGATCAGTCCCTACTCCCATCCCACCAGAGGAAGCACTTTAGTTAGATCTTGATGTTCTCTTCTATTGGTATCTGGTTGAGTGAGACGGCATAACAGGTCTCCACCATCCTTCCCTGCTGAACATGACTTAAAGCTCTAGGAATGACACAACAGACAACTATGAGAGAATTCTGAAACATAGAAAGAGGAAAGCTAACTGATGAGAGCCCAGGGCATCTTTTGGCTTCCCCTCTCCCTCAGCAAAAGGAAACTCAGTCAGTGCTCTTCCAGCACTCAATCAACAAACGGCTTCCAGGTAGCTTTATTCTTTTTCCAAATTGAACAGCAGTTCTGTGGTTTTTTTTTTTTTCTGTTCTTTTTTAAGATGTATTTATTTGAAAGGCATAATTGCAGAGAGAGAAAAATCTTTTATCTGCTAGTGAACTCCTCAAATGGCTGCAGCAGTCAGGGCTGGGCCAGGCAGATTCCAGGAACCAGGAGCTTCTTTTAGTTCTCCAACAAGGGTGCAGTGGTTCAAGTGTTTGGGTCATCTTTCACTGCTTTCCCAAGTATATTAGTAAAGAACTGGAACCAAAGTGAACAAGCTAGGATTTGAACTGACATCCCTTTGGGAAGTTGGCATTATAGATGGCATCTGGATCAGGAGCTCAACAACACTAGACAGTCTCCATAGAAACCAAAGGAAACCAGAGAAAGTCTGCCTAAGCACAACTGGAGAGTGGCACTCTCCCAGCAGCCTGAGCCCTGCCTCTCCCAGCTAGAGACCCCACTTGAGAGAGGCCTTGAGTCCTGGGAGTTCTACCCCAAGCACCCAGCTCAGGAAGTGGGTTGTGTCATGAACTGGAAACTGGCTGCTATGTAAAGGTGCCCTGCCTAAGGATCTGCTTTAAATGCCTTACTACCATCCTAAGGACCAGTGAGAGCCTGGGAGGCAGGAGACAAAACAAAAGTACACCAAAACCACTAAAATAGTTCTGAAAAAACTGACATTGGCACCATGCACAAAAGTTGGTGAAGACCTGCATGCTAAGCCTACACAGGATGACTCTTAAGATAAAAACAAATAGAACCAAGAATCTAGGGACGTAAAAGCCAAATCATCCAGATAAACCAAGCACACTCATCATATGAAGAGCCAGTCTGAATAAGAAAGGCAATCATCAGACTTCCATATGGAAATGAATTAGAATGACCTGACCACATTTCCAAAGTAGCCATAATGAAAAAAGACACAATGAACTTAAAAGAGTAGATACCAGAGAACAGAATCTGTGACGTTAGGGAGAGATCAACATAATTTACGCATTTTAAAAAATAGAAATAAATTTGAAAATGGGGTCTCAGGAGCCATGGAGCATTAATAAGTGATCCAGGGGAAGCACTGTAGCATAGCATATAAAGCCATTGCCCACTGAGCTGGTATCCCAAATAGGCACTGGTGTGGCCCAAATAATCACCTCAGATTCCTCTCCCTGCTAATGTGCCTGGAAAGGCTATGAAAGATGGCCCAACTGATTGGGCCCTGCACCCATGTGTGAGATTCCATTGCAGCATATGGCTTCAGCCTGACCTAGCCCTGACTGTTGTGGCCAATTAGAAAGTGAATTAGTGCATGGAAGATCTCTATCTCTCTCTCTCCTCTCTGTTTTTCAAATAAATAAATAAATAAATAAATAAATAAATAAATAAATAAATAAATAAAAATTACCCCAAATTTGTAGCATTAGAGTCGTCTATGAAACAAGAGTATTCAATGAAATAATGGTTGGAATTTTCTCAAAATTAGGAAAATATATAAAATTATATATTTAAGAAGCGCTGTGGACCCTAATAGGATAACCTTGAGGAAATTCCTTTTAACATATAACATATCACATTAAACTTCTAAAAACAAAATACAAATTTAAAATCTTGAAAACAGCCAGAGAGAAACTCCATGTTGCCTATAGGGGAACACCAAGTTGAAAGGCAGCATATTTCTTACCTGAAGCAGTAGAGGTCAGAAGGAACTGTTAACATTTTTCAAACGTTGAAAGACAAGAATTGCCGACCTCAAATCTTGTATCTGATAAAATTGTATTTCAAAAATTAAGGGAAAATAAAGATAGTCTCAGATAAAGTACATCTAAAAGAACCTGTTGCTAGCAGGTCTGTTTTTTAAAGAACGGCTAAAGGAAATTTTGCAAAAGAAAGAACACAATGAGCAAAATAATAAAATCGCCAAGAAGAATGGGGAAAAAAAGTAGAAATATGTATAAATGTCAAAAGTAGTCCTTCCCCTTATGAGTTTCCTAAGTTATACATGACTGTTGGTCCAAAATTATCATACCACCTGATACTCAAGACAATGTAGCTTAAAAGTGGGATGACAAGGGAATTA